AATTTTTGGACCAAATGCAGTTAGAGTGTGGGTGGATGTAGCAAAAAAACCGGATGCTTTCTTGTGGAGGCCAACGAGTGATATGAGTACCATTGAAGAAGCAATTTCAAGTAATGTGGCTTGGCCTGCTAATAAAATTTTAAAGGGGTATGTGGAATCTCTATTAGTTGTAAATTTATTTTAAACAAAACATTATATGATTGTGATAGTTTTTTTTCTCTTCGGGTTTAAATGTAGGTAATGAAGACTATGCTTTTTCCAACTATCTACATACCAATACATGTAAGCCATGCTCTCTATCTTACAAGTTTGACATTAAATTTTTATCTAGTGCATTATTGAAGTCATGTTTCCTCTAACTCACTAGCTACAAAATATCTAATGGAAGCCACCATGGAAAGTAAAGCCATGCTCTCTATCCAATGAGAGCCACGGTTAAGCCATGCTCTCTATCTTACAAGTTTGGCAATTGAAAAAAGATGATACCATGGAAAGTTAATGAGTTTTTGGTGTCTTCTACTCTACCTTGGCCGGAAAATGTTATTTTCCAAAAGAAAGAAAGATATGTATATAGTTAGTTGCTATCTTTCACTCTCAATTGTTGACATAATCAATTAGAAGAAGAAGAAAAATGAGAGCCACGGTTAAGCCATGCTCTATATATATATTTGCTGACCATTTTTAGCAATATACAAAGATATGTTGAGAAAGCTCCAAATCTCTTCTTTTGTTACCTTTCTCATATGAGAATACTTTATGGTTATGTTTCTAACACATTGGAGTACCTATTATACTTTTCTAATTATACAGGTTAAACAGTGGAAAGGACTTTTTTAATGAAGCATTTTGTCAAGATGGAAGGATTTACTTCACCATTGCACTTAGACGTTTTTGAGATGACTTCTCTGTTTTCTTTACTTGTTTTGAATGTTAAGGTTTTGGACACTGTATGAATTATGTTGTAGATGTAATTTTATTGACAGCTTGGTAGATACTAATAACAATTGATATGTTGAATGTTATGTTTTAATTTGAATGTTCCTATTTAGATATATCACATATCTCGGAATTATCATTTATTTGAATAAATTCAAAAGGATATCAATAATAATTTTAAAACGTTACAACAATATGAACATAACAAGAAAAAAAAGTTATTAATCTGTATTGTAGCTATGCTAAAGAGTTGTAAGAGGATGAAAATAACTTTTCTTACACGCTATAATATTTCAATTCTATAGCGTTTTTTATAACTCTCTTGAAACGTTATGTTTTCTTAGGATCTATAATAGCGCCTACTGTTCTAGCGCTTTAAAAAGCGCTATTGATAGTGATTAATAGCGTTTTTCGTCAACTACGAAAGGCTTTTTGTGGTGTAGTGTTAGTAATATGAAAAAGAGGTGTGTGAAAAGTAGAAAATGGGGTGTCAATAGACGCACCCTTAAAATGTAAAGAAAGTTTTAAAAGAATTACAAATTCCAGGGTATTACAAATTTGTAATTTCTAGAAATATAATATTATTCTTGTTACCAACTTAAAATGTAAAGAACATTATAAAATTTATTCTAAAAAATTACATTGTAAGGTTTTTATTTAGAAATAAATTGAACAATATGTTGGAGGGTATTTCCGTTACAAAAGCTAGCTACTCCCTTCAGATAGTCATTTTTCTAGAAGAAAAAAGTGAGTATCAATAATTAAATTTTTTCAAAGAAATATTAGATTGGATTTCATATTGATAAATTAGCGGGGTTTTTTATTTCCCGAATTAACAAATCGAAGGAAAGATATCAAGAATTTCTAAGGCCATGTTCATTTCGCTGATTCGAGTTTAGAATTCGAGTTTTGCTACAGTAAAAAGCTCTCACATAAAATCACATCTCAACTCGAATTAAAAACTCGAATCAGCGAACTAAACGGACCCTAAGACATCCCAAATTGGATTGCACGGAATTCACTCATCATAGCAGTTTTTGTCACCATTTTTAGTCGATGAATGTGTGCGCCCTAATAGAAGAGCAAAGAAGAGAGAGAAATTTTCAAAAGAATAGAAAAGGACAAAAAGTAAAGAGGGTACGTTTTACGTAGGCAAATATCTGCGGTTCTGTTTAGTTCTTACCTTTGTGTGTGTGTGTGTGTGTGTGTGTATATATATATATATATATATATAGATGGAGTTAAGGATGTAGTTCTTTTTCCGGCCTCTTTATTCATAGAGGAAGGTTGGTATCAAATACTACTAAGTGTATTACTTTTCCTTTTATTTTCTTTATTGCTTGCAGTTATAAGATCACTTCTTCTTTAGAAGAATACGATATATTTTAGTGACACTCAAACATTCTTAATTTTCTGGCTTAAAGTAACGAACTCTGCGCTTGTTTCATAAATATTCATGTTTAGGATTAGTTGATGTTGGGAATAAAGATGATTTGGGAATGAAAATGCTATTTTACTTTTTTAAAGTTGCATACTTTGGCATAAAATTCCACCGTCTGAACTGACAGTAACCTTGATAATAAGCAAGTAACCAAAAGGGATTTATTGTACTTAATTTAGTGGAATAAAGGGTCCTTGCGACAGTAAAAAAAAAAAAAAAAAAAGCACACTTTTAAAAGAGTGTCCTTGACAAAAACCAAAAAAAAAAAAAAAAAAAGAAAGAAAGAAAAACGTGAAGCA